AAGTGAAATTTTCTTATATGCATATTTCTATCTGAGATGGAAAAACCAAAGCTAGACTGAGAGGGGTGTGCGGTTTTGTTTTATATTCTTTTTTTAGATCACTTATATATGAATCCATTTCATTAACTGATTCATTTATTGAGTACCTACCTTGTGCAGGCACAAGGATGCTGGGAACAAAAGGGTGAATAGGATAGACGAAAAACCTCAGGAATCTTATATTCCAGTTTCCTGGTTGGGCCCTATGGTCATGTGGTTGTGACCCTTGGTTTATATCAATCAATATGGAAAGGATGTATATTAAGATCTTCAGAAGGATTGAGGGGAGTGGAGGATTGAGAAGAGGCCAGTGGATTAACTGATTGGGAATGCTGTATTTTTATTTTTTATTTTATTTTTTTAAAGATTTTATTTATTTGTTTTTAAGTAATCTCTACACTCAACATGAGGCTTGAATTCCCAGCTCCAAGATCAAGAGTCACATGCTCTACTTACTGAGCCAGCTAGGTGCCCCTCATTAGGAATGCTTTTAAATGTTTATTTATTTTTGAAAGAGAAAGGGGAGGGGGAAGAGAGAGAGGGAGACATAGAATCTGAAGCAGGCTCCAGGCTCTGAGCTGTCAGCACAGAGCCCGATGCAGGGCTTGAACTCATGAACTATAAGATTATGACCTGAGCCAAAGTCAGAAGCTTAACAGACTGAGCCACCCAGGTGCCCCAGGAATGCTTTTAGAATGCAGGAGGATTAAGGACTAAATGGATAGTAACAATGCAGATATGCAGAGTATTCATGTAAGAAGGTTGGTGAATAGATGAGAGGGTAATATAATGGGGTAGCAAGGTTGGAGGAGGTTTGTTTTGTAGCAGGGAGAAGATATGCATATGTTTGTGAACTAAGATAAAGGGGGCATTGGATAGGGAGAGGTTGAAGATTTGAAATGACTTTTAATCCTCTAAAATGCAAAAATGATTGTAGAAAGGGAAATGGAGCAAAAGAGAAAAATTATAATATATTCTTAAAGACAAAAAACAGTTGGAGGATGTTAGAACCTACATATTGTTGGGCCATAGATACTAGTGAGATGTAGGCCATTTTACCTCAGTGGACACCTGAGACTCATCACTAGGGGATATCAGCCTCTGCAGGAGCTGATGAAGGGTGTGTGTGTGTGTGTGTGTGTGTGTGTGTGTGTGTGCAGTGTACCTCCTCTCTCCTCATCCAACCAGACAGAAGGTGAGATGTTTAGTAGGTTTATTAATTGAGAGAAATTGAGCCAAAGAGCCTCCAGAGATGAAAGGTAAGCAGGATAGTGAAGGTAGGAAGGAGGTATGACACCAAAAACAGAGCAATGGAGCACAATTCTGTAATGAACTGTAGACTCCCACATACCCCACTGTTTCTAGAATGCCTGCATCCAGATGAAAACTTTTTATCAAGTGGGAAGTAGATTCTTCTTTGGAGAAACTGAATGTTCCTAGAGAACTAATCTTTCTACATTCACATTTGAGGAACTCTCAGTGAAATCTGCCAGCTGATCATGCTATGCAGTGAAGTTATTCATCGACACACTGTGCCAGCATACATGAAGGTTGCTGTCAAAGTTAAATGCTTCATCCTTACATATATATGGATTATAAAAAAATGATCAGAAATTAGGGTATAGCTTCCAACATGGAAGAGAGAGGCCAAACTATCCAACAGGAAAAGCTAACCAGAGTGAAATGAAGATAGTCAAGGATGCAGAGAAAAACATTTAAAAGCCGACCTAATTGATTATGTCAGGGGTTTAAAATATTGCATTCAGGATATTTTTAAAAAGAGAACACAAGAGCATCTTGGAAATAAGAAAATAACAAAAATTGGTGTTGAATAGATGGATTGGAAAACAAATCAGGGAAATATCTCGGAAAGTACAATAAATAAGGAGGTGAAAAAATATAAGAGAAAGGGTAAGGAAACTGCATGGGTGGTATTACAGGTGTTAAACAGTTGTCTAAAAAAGGAGTTCCTAAAAGAGGGAATAAGAGAATATTATATGGAGAAAAGAATAAAAACTTACAATTTTTTTTGGTGATGTATAGCTCATATTGGAAGATGTGTTCAATACAAAGAATAGAAGAAAAATCCCAGGAAATAGTGTTGTCAAATTCCAAAACACTTGAAATAAAGATATGATCCTGAAACCATGAAGGTAGAGAATGGGATAAAGGAGGCAGGAAATTTGAAGACAGGTAGAGACACAAGTTACTGCATGTAGGGGGTGGGTAGGGATCTGCTGTGTGGATTGAGGTTTCCTTTTTTTTTTTTAATGTTTATTTATTTATTTTGAGAGAGAGAGAGAGAGAGAGAGATAAAGAATGAAGAGGGGAGGAAGGGTGAGAGAGGGAGACAGAGAATCCCAAGCAGGCTCTGTGTTGCTTGACATGGGGCTCGAACTCATGAACCATGAGATTATGACCTGGGCCTAAATCAAGAGTCAGACACTTAACTGATTGAACCACCCAGCTATACCGATGTTTCCTTTTTAAAAGGAATTTTGATGCAACTAGTTCAAAATTTTTATTTGGAAGCTTATGATTTGGCATCACCTCTCACCTCTGTCTGTACTCTTCTTCAGATTTATAGGTGGTCCCAAAGAGAAATGGCAGATGTTAAAGCCCCATTGTTTTATTTACTTATTTATTTATACATAGGAGTTTTTATTAAACAATTTTATATGGTTCTGAAATTACATAATTTTTTTGAAGTTTTATAGATAATAGAATATGCAGATACATTTTAGCACATACAGGGGCTTGAGGCTACTTTGTGTAAAGACTCTTGTCTGGTGTAGAGAAGGTGATCAGTTTAATAATGTAAAACAAAACAGAAAAAACAATCACCCTGAAGCCCCTCTTACTGGTCAAAGTAATGTTCTACCCAGGCTTCTTACCTGATCATCTGGCTCTTTTACATATACACAGTCTTCACTTTTCCAGTGAGTATTTATTCTTAGTTAAGCCATGATTGAGGATCCCAAGGTGGGGATCACCATGTACCCAGGTCCCCCTTCACCACCCTTGGAGAAGAATGGAGGACAAAGGAGAGGTGGGTGGAGTCAGTTCACATCATCCCAGGAAACGTGCCTAATGCCAGGCCATCATCCCAGGGTGATCACCCCCAGGATACGGGACGGATTGTGTACACACACCCAATACTATTTTGCACATGGAGACATCATCCCCACGAGCAGTCATTGTCTTCTCACAATGGTGGAAGGACAGGCAGTTCTGCCAGCGGTTCCTGGTCTGGTTCTGGTTGGGGAAGTGACTGTCAAAAGGGGCAGTCTGATAATTCTTGATTTGGGTCTTGATATCTTCCGCCGTGGTGCTACCTCCTAAAGACATCCCTGAAGCAGCTCATGGCTCAGTGTGACTCAGAAAAGAAGCCAGAGTCAGACAGGAAGCAGAATTAACCATTTTGTTCGTTTTTAAATGAACAATGTTACTCAAACTGGTACAGTAATGGTCATTGTGAAATTCAGTTTAATAATGGTGACTTTATAGGGGTTCCTGGGTGGTTCAGTCGGTTAGGCAACCAATTCTTGATTTTCGCTCAGGATATGATCTCACAATATTTAAAACATATTAAGTTTTAAATAAACATTAAAAAATAATGGTGACTTCATAGAGAAAATCCCATTTTAGAAATTTTGTTTTATTGTGGTGGAATAAAAAAATCATTCATTAATCACTTGCTCACTTAAGAGAGGATATAATATATAAATGCAATAAAGTCAAGTTGCCTCCCTTTTAAATAGATTGTCAAAAAGATAAAGTTGTATGTATATATACGCACGTAGACATAAATGGGTGCCTGTGTTTAACCAATAAGCAAATAAGAACTTTAGGCCAGTACAGCTGTTTTCTTATTTTTCCCTGATTTCTCTACCTTATATGACTTGGTTTCCAGCACAGAGGGTAGAACCAAAATTTCAGAATGCTCCATGACAGTTTGCTTGTCATTTTCAGTAGGTGGTCATCAGTTTCAGTAGACCTTAGTGTAAAGTTCAGAGTTAGTAGTTACCATTTCAAGGTATAGTGTTACCTTTATATAAACAACTTTTGGCTATGTTAGTCCTTAAGAGAATTCTTACCTACTATTCCTCATGATTTTTTAAAAGAAAAGCATGATTCCTGTCTTGCAGAATTTTTACGTACAATGCAGATAAATTTAAAAGTCAGGTGGTAGGAATGTATTTCTTCTTGTTTTCCAATGAAAGTCTAAATTTGAGATCTGTTCATTTTGAATTTTTTTCCCTGAGTTTCCTCATGGGCCGGTGAGACCAGTATTTTGAAACAAGATTGAGGGAGAAAGATATTTGGATTGTCTTTTGGCTTCTCTCTGCTACCTAGAAAGAATTTGCTAGTTATATTTTTTGTAAGAATGAAAAATAAGCTAAAACCTCTTTAGTTTATTTTTCAGTATGAGTCTTAAATGGATACTAGAAAATCAGTCTTAGGAACTCATTTGCAAGACTTTAATATGATAAAACTTCTTTGGAAAATATACATTTAATTGTTAGCGGTGTGCTCTGTAGTTCTGCCTATAGACAAAACAGAGGGGTACTATTTATTTCCATTATAAATCTCTAGTGTTTGCCAGACAGCAGGGAAATCTGATATTCTCCTCTGTTGAAACATCTTGTTGAGTCAGGGAATATCACTGCATAGTGCTTTAGCCCTATTCCCTTGCTCTTACACACCCCAAACTATAACAATCTTTTACTAGACACTTTCTAAAAAGGGAGAGAACAAGGATTAAAAACTGCATAGGTACTGTAGGTATGGATGCTTCCATATGTCCAATAGGTAGATTACTATAAAAATGCATCATAAGTTATAAGTTCATTGAGAAAAATACGACTGAGATATTGTGTTACAAAAACCTTCATATCTAGATTTTCTTTCCTCTTCATCTTCAGTCTTCTCACAATAGTTCTTTGTTTTCCTCCCCCCAGTAAGATATTTCCCAAAGGCCTTCCTGACGAGTACGCCATAGCAGCTGTGTTTCGTGTGCGCAGAAGCACCAAAAAGGAACGGTGGTTCCTGTGGCAGGTGTTAAACCTGCAGAATCTGCCACAGGTAAGGAGCCATAGTGTTGTGCCGATTAGTTTTCCCTTATGTGATTATGCCAGGTGAATCTTGGAACAGTGTGCCCAAATTTGGAAGCAGATGTGGTGTCCAAATAGTCTTTTAAAGGATTCATCAGCAGGGAAATGCAAATATTCTCATAGGATGATTTTGTTGAGATCTGTAATATGAAAGCATGGTGGGTGAGACAAGATTATTTTTTTGTTTGTTTTCACTTCTAGATTCATATTTTGTCTAAAGATACTCAAATGGCCCTTCTTTCATAACTGCTTCATTGACACTAAGTCCATCTCACTAATAACTTCTTTATTTCCTATAATTTCTGATATGTATTATTTTTAAAGCTGTTCGTTGTTTCATCTGAAAGTCCTTAGTAAATGAAGAACCAGGATATAAATATTGATGCCATCAATAAAAACTTACTGAACACATGCTGTATGCTAGTTAGTGACAAAGATAAGATTTTAACAAGCGTAATTCCTTTCTCAGGGAGCATAAGGCCTAAGGGGATGTCATCTAGGAGAACAATATGCTAGAGCATAATCATAGTGCGACAGGTGCAGTGGTAGAGGTAAGCTCGGAGCTGGGCGTGGACTACGAGAACATAGAAAGGACAGCTTCCCAAAATGGGGCACACGGAGAATAGGAACGTAGGAATACTTATGGAAGAGATGTCTTTTGGGCAGAAAGATGAGAGTGCAAGGACTCCAGGGCAGGAGATGAACCTCAGTATTACTTATTGGCACCTTACATTTGTGTTTATTTTTTTTTATTTTTATTTAAAAAAATTTTTTTTATTTATTTGTTTTATTTATTTGTTTATTTATTTATTTATTTGTGGGACAGAGAGAGACAGACCATGAACGGGGGAGGGGCAGAGAGAGAGGGAGACACAGAATCGGAAACAGGCTCCAGGCTCTGAGCCATCAGCCCAGAGCCTGATGCGGGGCTCGAACCCACGGACCGCGAGATCGTGACCTGGCTGAAGTCGGACGCTTAACCGACTGCGCCACCCAGGCGCCCCGTGTTTATTTCTGTACATATCCACTGACATGCATTTTATTTCACTGGTCTTTTAATCTGTTAATACAGTCACAATTTTATGGTGGAAAAATGAAATGAACTGAAAAAGTATGTCCTTTATAAAAATGCATTCTTTTCTGCACCATGCAAATCATCAAAGTTTCAAGAAGTTGATCTCAGTTTCCATGCTAAGAGAAGTAATCCTATTCTTATGCTTTTTAAATTAAGTAACATTTAATTCTTGAATTACTCATACAGAATTATATATATACTTAGATACATACATACACATATATAAATATATACTCTCAGATGTTCTTTCAAGAAAGGAACATATGACATTCACCAGAATACCCCATATTTGAAACATTTTTGTAGCTGGATATTTGTTGTTCTTTTATATTAACAAGTCTGGTGGACCCAGGTGTCATCTAAAACATTTTACTAAGTCCTTTGGTTATACTAACATGCATTTCTGATTTTTTATTTGTGTGCTTTAGTAATTTTGAACACTGGTTTTAAAACACTTAAAGCTAATTTGCATTTTTGCAGATTTCTATAGTCGTTGATGGTGGAAAGAAAGTGGTGGAATTTATGTTCCGAGCTGCTGAGGGAGATGTGTTGAACTACATTTTTAAAAATCGAGAACTCCGTCCTTTGTTTGATCGTCAGTGGCATAAACTTGGCATTGGTATACAATCCCGGGGCATTTCACTCTATATGGATTGTAATTTAATTGCAAGCCGTTATATAGATGAAAAGAATGCTGTGGACCTTCGTGGAAGGACTGTTATTGCTGCACGAGCTTCCGATGGCAAGCCTGTGGATGTGAGTTGTGATGTTCGTTATGAAAGAGAACTAGTAAAACTTCTAAATTAGATACCTTATTAAAACCTTCTTTCTTTAATTACTTTGTAATACATTCCCTTCTCAACACTTTTTAAATTAGCCATCAGATGTGTGAAGCATTGCCATGTATTTCCAACTGTATTTTCACATATATTATCTTCTCTCTGTTTTCACCCATTTTCTCTAGCCTGTGAATTTAAAAGAACTAGGTCATGCCTTAAAAAATGAGGTTGTTACAATTAAAGCTTAGTAAAAATTGACAATATGATACAAAAAGTAGCTTGAATAAGCTTATATGTTTTGAATAGAAAAGACTGGAAAAAGATGAACTTTAAATTAAATGGTTCCAGATTATCTGATGTTTCCACTCAAGAACAATAGGCTGTTTATTCATCTTCAGAATAGCAATTGTTTTGTATTGCAGACTATTTTTCATAAGCCTATAAGGGTTTTTTAAGTTCTGCTGTGACTGAAATATAACCACTAATTGTATCAGTAGGTCATTTGGATGATAACAATGTCTTGTAAAATCCTTTCATTTGAAAAGGTCCTTTAAAAACTATATTTGATGCTCAAGTGATAATAGATTTATTATTAATTTCCCTAAAGAAGAAGGCCTATAAACCTAAAAAAGTGAGATATATCTAAATTTCATGACTTTACATTTTTTTATGGGTAGAATGATGGGAAAACCCATAAAAATAATCTGAATGCAGGTCACCAATGGGAATTGCTAATAGTGTTAACACAGAACACTTAATAGCTCAATTTTGTTTCAAAAGCACAATTCTGTACAAATACATATTTGGGCAGTGTATATTTTCTTTTTTTTTTTTCTTTTTTTTTTTAATTTTTTTTTTCAACGTTTTTTATTTTTATTTTTGGGACAGAGAGAGACAGAGCATGAATGGGGGAGGGGCAGAGAGAGAGGGAGACACAGAATCGGAAACAGGCTCCAGGCTCCGAGCCATCAGCCCAGAGCCCGACGCGGGGCTAGAACTCACGGACCGCGAGATCGTGACCTGGCTGAAGTCCGACGCTTAACCGACTGCGCCACCCAGGCGCCCCGGGCAGTGTATATTTTCTAAATGCCCATGTGGAAGGAATCAATATAGATAGATGATTAATAGATGGATAAAGTTAATATATGTGTGTATATATAGTCAGTAAAATATATATAGTGTATATAGTCAATAAAATATTTTTAAAGTGTTTTCTGTTAGAGACATTGAATGAATCAGTGAGAATGTCATAACTGGAGCTCAGTAATGATCAGCAAAATAGGCCAGAGTAGGAAAAATGAATCCTAGAGGCAAGGCATCATGGCATTATGGAGAGTAAGATGGTTTGAGTATCAGACAGATGAGGTTGTAAATCCTAGCTCTTAATGATCTGCTGATTTATTTTGTTAGCTGTTAATTTATCTGGGTCTCAGTATTCTCAGTTAAAAAATATTGTTGGTAGAGTTACTTAGTTATAATTGTATAGAGTATGTGCAATAGTGCCTAATATGTAGTTAGTTCCCTGTATATTCATTTGTTTCTTCAGGACCAGACACTCCACTCAACCCTTCCCTAGGAGAATGGGGAAAAAAACAAACAAAAAAAAACTTCTCTTGCTCTCAAGAGATCTTGAAGGCTAATGGAAGGACCAAAGACTATGTCTGTAAATTGTGGCTGCCAATAATAATAACAGTATTAATTGTAATACAACAGTATAGACAGACCTTTCAGAAAGGTCTCTCCAAAGGCAAGGGAGGAAGTGGAGACTGGGACTGCCAGTTAGAAAGAACATCAGTGATGTAACTTTCAGCAGTAGGTGTAGTGTAGGTAGATAGGAGTCCATTCAGGGAATTCTGCAATAGTAGTAGAGAGTGATACCTGCTGCAAGTACCAAAGTTTAAGACTGGAGTTTGGGATTAGAATCTCTTATAGGATTAGTGAGAGCAAGGCTCTGTTTTCAGAAGAACTGGAAGAACTAAGAACACACTGAGATAAATTCATAACCTTTGTAGGGAGGTAGCAATGAGAGAGGAACAAGCTGTTTCAAGACCAGGGCCCAGGCTCAGAGCTCACCCTCTGAAAGCTGAGTGCTGTGTCATGTGTCTTACTAACTTCTCATGCAAGAGAATAATTAAGCTCAGAACCTGAAGCTGAAAAATATCAGGTGTGTCCTCTAGAAAGACGTAATGTAAAAATTATAGTATTACAATGGTTTTTTAGTGTGACATCTTACTTCATTTGAAGGTAAAATTAAAGCCATACCCAAAATGAGAGGACAGAGGAATATGTCCCAAATGAAAGAACAGGACAAAATGACAGAAAGAGACCTAAGTGAAATGGAGATAAGTAATATGCCTAATAAAAAATTTAAAGTAATGGTGATAAAGATACTCACTGGGTTTGAGAAAAGAGTGGAAGACCTCATTGAGACCCTTAACTAAGAGACATAAAACATTAAAAAAAAAAACCCAAAAAACCAGAGATGAAGAGCTCAATAACCTAAGTTAAAAATTCACTAGATGGAATACATTGTAGACTAGAGGAAGCACAAGAACAGATCAGTGACCTGGAGGACAGATTAATGGAAAGCAATCAAGTTGAACAGGAGAGAGGAAAAAAATAATAATAAAAAAATAAAAATACACTTAGGCAACTTAGTGACATCATCAAGTGTAATAACATTAACATTATAGGAGTCCCAAAAGGAAAAGAGAGAAAAAGGGGATCAGAAAATTTATTTGAAGAAATAATAGCTGAAAACTTCCTGAATCTGGGAAGGAAACAGAAATCCAGATCAAGGAGACAGAGACCCCAGCAAAATCAACCCAAGACACATCATAATTAAAATAGCAAAAAGTAGTGATAAAGAGAGAATTCTAAAAGCAGCAAGAGAAGGGGCACCTGGGTGGCTCAGTCAGTTACGTGTCTGACTTCAGCTCAGGTCATAATCGCACGGTTCATGGGTTCCTGAGTTCAAGCCCCATGTCAGGCTCTGTGCTGACTGCTCAGAGCCTGGAGCCTGCTTTGGATTCTGTGTGTCCCTCTCTCTCTCTCTCTGCCCTTCTCCCATTCATGCTCTGTCTCTCTGTATCTCAAAAATAAATGTTAAATAAATAATAAATAAATAAAAATAAAAGCAGCAAGAGAAAAGAAAAAAGTTACATACCAGGAAAATTTCATAAGGCTATCAGCTGATTTTCAGTAGAAACTTTGCAGGTCAGAAGAGAGTGCCATGTTATATTCAAAGTGATGAAAGAAAAATACCTGCTGCCAACAATATTCTATCCAGCAAGGCTATCATTCAGAGTAGAAAGAGAGATAAAGAGTTTCCCAAACAAACAAAAGTTAAAGGAATTTATGACCACAAGGCCAGTCCTACAAGAAATGTTAAAGGGGACTCTTTAAGTGGAAAGAAAAGACCAGAAGTAGGAGTAAGAAAAGTAGGAAACACAAGAGCAATCAAGTCAATTATATCTCTGAAAATCAGTCAAAGGATTCATAAATAGAAGGATGTAAAGTATGACACCATATACCTAAAATGTGAGGGGGAGAGGAGTAAAGAATGGGTTCAAATTTAAGTGACCATCAACTTAATATAGACTGCTATAAGCATAATATATACAAACCTGATAGTAATCCCAAATCAAAAACCAATAATATATATGCAAAAATTAAAGGAATGGAACCCATGTATATCACTAAAGAAAGCCAGCAAACTGAGAAAGAATAAAGCAAGAGAAGAAAGGAACAGAGAAGAACTATAAAAGCAACCACAGAATAAGTGGTTATAAAACAAAATGGCAGTAAGTACATACCTATCCATAATTACTTTGAATGTAAATGGACTAAATGCTCCAATCAAAAGACACAGGATGATGGAACGGATAAAAAACAAGAGCCATCTGTATGCTGCCTACAAGACACTCATTTCAAGCCTAAAGACACATGAACATTGAAAGTGGGAAGGGGCAGAAAGGCATTTATCATGCAAACAGAAGTGAAAAGAAAGATAGCAATATTTCTATCAGACAAAATAGACTTTAAAACAAAAACTAAAAAAGACAAAGAAGGACAGTATATAATCATAATGGGAGCAATCCAACAAGAAGATATAACTGTAAATATTTATGCACCCAATATGGGAGACCCCAAATACAGAAAGCAGCTAATCACAAACATAAGGGAAGTACTCAATAGTAATAAAATAATAATAGGGGGCTTTAAGATCTCACTAACATTAATAGATAGATCATCCAAACAGAAAATTAACAAGGAAACAGGGGCTTTGGATGACACAGTGGACCTGATCAATCTAACAGATATATTCAGAATTTTCCATCCTGAAACAGTATAGTACACATTCTTCTCAAGTGTACATGGAACATTCTCCAGAAGAGATAACATATTAGGCCACAAAACAAGTTTCGACAAACTCAAAAAGATCAAAGTCATACTATGCATCTTTTCTGACCACAATGCCATGAAACTAGAAATCATTCACAAGAAAAAAATGTGGAAAAAAACACAAATACATGGAAGTTAATAACATGCTACTAAAAAATAAATGGGTCAACCAAGAAATCAAGGGGAAATAAAAATACATGGAAACAAATGAAAATGAAAAAACAGTGGTCCAAAATCTTTGGGATGCAGCAAAGTGGTTCCAACAAGGAAGTTAACAGCAATGCAGGTCTACCTCAAGAAGCAAGAAAAGTATCAAATAAGCAAAATAACCTTACATATAAAGCAGCTATTTTCTTCCATCAAACCAGACAGAAGAAAATAATAAATATTAGAGCAGAAATACACAAAATAGAAACTAAAACACAATAGATCAATGAAACTAGGAGCTGGCTCTTTGAAAAAATCAACAAAATTGATAAACCTCTAGCTAGACACATAAAAAAAAAAGAGAACAAGAGAGAGAACACTCAAACAAAATCAGAAATGAAAAAGGAGAAATAAAAACTGATACCA